CCAGCGCCTGCCCTTCCCTGGACAGGCAATGCCAGAGCAAAGGTGAGCCTGGCACTGTGGAGCACTGACTTATTACACAGAGACACCTTTTCCCAAATTTTCCCAAATCCAGTATTTTTTCTGGTACAGGAAAAAAACCAAACCAAACCAAACCAAACCTGAAGCAGAGCTTTCTCTTCAGGTCCCTAAAGAAAGGCAAAACCCGGAGAACATGTCACCACAGCCTGAGCCCATCCTGCCTTGCAAAGCTTTCCGGACACATTCAGCATCCCAGCATGGACACACATTCTTAAATTTACTTTGAAAGCAGTGAAAACAACAAAAGCAACCTACCAGGCCTGAGTCCAGAACCTCTGACAGCTTCCAGCTCCCCTCCAGCATCCAATGCTCCCATGAAGGACCAAGCAGAGAGGGACTCACCGTCTGTGCTGAGCACACGAGTCCACAGCCCCCTCAGAGCTCCGAACCCAGCTGGCTGCAGCCACTCTTGTCCCTGGTACTGGGGACAACACAGCCGAGTGCCATGTTCCCTCTCCCACAGGGGAGAATTGACTGGAGCAAGCCTTGGGGAAAGCAACTAGGAAACTGGTACCATTCTGCACAGCTGAAACACCGAACGGGAAATGTCAGGCCCGGGGTTATATTCCAACAGATCCCATGGCATATTCCTGTCCTGTCAGATTAAGGTGTGAGTGTCAGTGGAAGGAAGCCGAGGACACTGCTGGTGAGCGGACTACAAAGCACAGCTTGGTTCTACTGCTGCTTTCTGCACACTATGCTCTAACTCGCACCACTGCAGCGTCAGCTATGCAACTCAATTTGCTGCCTACGGTAGCTATTACAAAAGACGAACAAGGATCAATGAGGAGAGCTGAACAGCTTCCCAGCTGCCCACAGAGCCCTGAGCACAAATCGACTTGAAGATCAATGCCACCATTTCCTCTTTCTTGGCAAACATCATTACCTGGAACACCAGGCTCGGGTGTGCGCTCCCCCTGCAGACCACGGGCTGCGCACAGAGAGCGACCTGCAGGGAGGATGCCTCTAGCACAGGCTGCTAACGGCTTGTGGGGGCTGGGGCGGCACCGTTTCACTATCAGAACCGGGCGAGGGAAAGCACATTTGTCCATTGTCTTGGGGACTCGAGAGTGTTTCGCTCACAAGTCTCGCGGAGCAGAAAAATGCAAACCAGTTTAAATAAAGACTAAAACACGGTATAACCTGAAAGAGCCGGAGCCTCCGCTCACACCAGTTTTGGGGCTGGTTAACAGATCAGCCAACACATACATTTAAGTCCCCTTTGCACTAGTAGTAAACTAGACCTGCAATCTGCCAGTGCGTTACTAACCCACCTGAAATAAGGCAATGTACGACTACACAGTCAGGTTCACTTATAACGTCAAGCTAAACTGTCGCCACATCCTTTACTCTGCATGCTTTATTCACAAAGAACACACAAGGACAGGGACATCCCCGACTCTGCTTTTCAGATGGAAGCATTCAGAGAAAAACTACTTGTAAATATCAGCACAGAAACCATATTCATACTCATCCAAACAATAAATCAAACCAGAGATGACATGAATATAAATATGAGAGATCATGAGACTGAGTATATAAATAAGCAAAGAAGCCTGACTTGTGATAAATCCACAGGATAAAACAAATGAGGAAACATAGCTGTGGGACCTGTCTGAGTAATGGACTGGAGTAAGGTTCCTCCCTCTTTGCTGAAATACATGAGATGGATTAATTCATTGTAAATTATTTACTCAGCTATAGCCACAAGGGAACGTATTTGGAGGGGGGTGGAATTCCTATGGTATTTGCAGTTTTTCATAAGTAAACCTTTGAAAGGGAATTAATTACACTGGAAACTGTAAGTAGGATGGAATCTGCCCATACGCAGTCAGATATGGCATCTGCCTCCTCACTTAATGTATAGATTCATTACCCAGCCTATGGGTTCAAACCGTATTGGCACACGCATATAGAGTTACTAGGCAGAAAAACAGCCATGGGTACAAAAATAAAGCCATTTTTTTGTTGCTGCAATGAAAATTTGTCCTTACTCTGACTCTCAGTTCTCAGACTTCTTGGCCCATTAACTCATCTCAGACTGTTATAAATTGCTTTCAGGCGGGAGAGTGGGAACCAGGATGTTATACAGCCCCCTCCCCAACTTACCGGGTATAGTAGGAATCCACACCCAGAGCCTCCCGCACACTTGAGATGTACTGCTCCAGCGCGGAGTTTGTTATTGTTTGCAGGGTCACACTGTTGGCTTCATGGAAATCCCCGGCATTTTCTGTCAGGCTATCACCCAGATAGTACTCATGAAATTTCAGGATTCCTGCAAGGCACCAAAATCATGAAGTTATTTCGGCAGGGTAGGAAGAGTGCTGCCAGCAAATGCCTAGGAAGGCGGCACAGCCCCCAGCATTTGGTAGTTCCAGTACAACTGGGGCAAAGCATTCTGTGCCATGTCTCCACAGGGCTTTTCCAGCATGTTGTATTACAGCTCTGCTTTTAAAATCTGGTTTTGTACTTTGCAGATGATAGCCCAAAGGTACAAAGGCAGAGCAGTGCTTTTATGAGACGCTCAGAATGCATTTGCTATTGCAGTGGTCTCATATAAATTATAAAACAGATCTTTCATACAATCACCTACCAGAGTAATTTGCATTCCAATAGACACACATGAAAAATACCCATTAATAGCCTCTGATCACATAAATTGAACACACAAGGCTCACATGCTGAACAAAAGTGTTATTACTACAGCAGAACCTAATCACATCACACAAAGATCTTTCATTTCACTCATATGCATGAAAATACACTATACACAAAGAAAAAAAGCTGGACTAATGCATAATAAAATATTAAAAGATAGCATTTCACAGTGGGTAAACCAGACAAAGGACACTCACTGTTTTGTTAAGAATTCAACTATTACTGCAGATAAAACCTTCCTCCACTTAAGACTGGCATATCCTTCCTGACATAATTAATTCCACAGCTTGTGATCACCAGTAAAAGGCTGCTCTGGATGCCCTGTTTGCCTTGACAGCATAAATTATTAAACCAGTTAAGAAGAGTGGAGGAATAAAGCATAAAGCTTCTCCAGCAACAGCAGCAAATACAGAATCAGAGAAGAGGCACTAAGGGTACGATCTCAGTGGGATAATGAGGATCCTGGGCTGCCACTGGAGCTACTCACTCTGTCAGCACTAATAAAACAAGAAGATGTCATTGTGGCTGGGCTGGAGTCACTGCTGAAGCTGTTCCCAGCAAAGCTGCCCGAGTGGAAATACCACAGTCCCTCTCCTTCCCAACACCTGACAGTGCCTTCAAGGGGACAGTCACAAACCCATGTGCTTGACGAGTGCAACTGCAAGACCCAGTTTGGGCAAGGAGGAGACTGGTCATGAAGCCTAGTGGCAAACCCTACACTTCTGATCCATATAATTTCAGTAAACTCGTCTTGATATTAATACTGTAGAATTACTGGCATTTTATTGTGCAAACCACAGGCCTGAAGAGCCATTTAGTGGCTGGATGCACAGCAGGACAACACCATCTTACACGTATATACACAACATTGCAAAATACTGCCGAAATGCACATCTTCCAATCACTGTCATCCCATCTGAAGTCAGGCGCGTGTGAATGTTTGCTTCCCTTCCTGGAGCATTTTTGGTGCAATCTAAATAGTGCTTTTTATCTCTTTAACTTTGCCATGGTGAAGGGCTGCAATTATTAAATTATATCCAGAAAGAAGTCATGAAAATCTATAGTCATCACTTTATGAGATAATGAACAGCTGCCTGCAAAAAGCAACCCTCTTCAAATTAATCCTCCTTGCTCCTCTGTGATAAGTGTTTCCACATTCATACGAGGAGAATTCAGAGGATCAGGCAGTTCAATGGCATATCAGGAAGCGGGGATGCCCTTCTGTTTTCTGCAATCCACTTGAGTGAATAAATGTCAAAAGCTTTTGGAAGGATGAAGCACAGAAATATAATTAAAGTAGGGATTCTTATGCATAGAGTATTCTCACAGAGCCAACATACTTGGAATCTTATTACTGCTCTGCCCTGTGGGAAATATATACAGATAGAGGTTGAAAAATCGAAATATTAAACATGTGAAACATTTCCATCTCCAGGTGCCCTGAATAAGCACTTCTATGTCATTATTGCTGTGGCTATGCCACAGTTTTCAGTCTATTCAGCTCTAAGGTACTAGATGGAAAGGATTCCCTCGTACGTTCACTCTGGTCCCAGATTCATTCCTACCTACAAATGGTACAGTCCTCCCTTTGCAAAAGCTGTTCACAGGCTCTTGCCTCCAAAAAGGACCTCACCTGCCCCAGGAGCCAGCAGCCAGCTGTACAGATAACCAGCAGCCAGCGAGTAGTACAGAACAAGTCCCCTCTGGCCATTCACTGTCTCCAGGACCTGGTCAATGGTCACTGGAGAATAGGGGTCAGAGTCCTGCTGCCCAGTCTGGCGTTCCACGAGCAGGTCAGCAAATGCCCTTGTTCGTCCTCTCTCTGCTACTGCCAAAGCTTCATCATGGTGACCTGAAAAGACAAAGCCATCTCTCAGACCTGACACCAGTGTGGGCTGCAGCACACTGTGCAGGAACAGGGACAGCTGCTATCCCAACCAGAACGAAAACCTGGGGAAGCAGAGTCACAGCACTTATTTCTGGAAAGAGTAGTTTCTGCGCTGGAATACAGTCCCATGGATCATCTTGGCTGCAGACAATAACATGATGTACGGGAAAATGAGCCACAGAAAGGCAAATGAACGGATGAAGCAAGAAAGAAGAACCGAAGGTGCCTGAAACCCAAAGCAGGAGACCCTCATTTCTGTCCTGGCAAAGAAATGCTGTGCTGTGTCAGGCAGATGAGGAGTGAAGCATGCATCATGAATTGCCTCCCCACAACTCCCACTGAACTCTTGGCATGGGCTCGGAGCTCAGCCTCAGCACAGGATGGCATCTCTTACCGAGACTGACCAGCACTCGCTGCAGGGCCTGGTAGGAGGATGTCTGCAGGTCGAAGAGGGACAGCTTGTAATCTATGCTCAGCTGCACCTCGTGGCGGATGGTTTCAAACAGCGCCGAGGCCCGGTACAGCTGGGAGGGAAAACAGCCACGGTGACTTCCTTACAGACACAGCACAAAGCCCCGGCTGGGGGAGCCGGGGGCCAACACACCCCCAGGCAGCGGAGGTCTGCCCCAGACAGCCCCTTGGGATGCAGAGAGGAGGTGACTTTGGATGGAGCACAAGGTACATGGGCCTGAGCCGGCTCCGCGCTCTACACGCCCTCCCCTCCCAAGGGCTCAGAGGACATGGGCCCGCCGGCATGGGCACACCGCGGGATACCTGGTGCTGAGACTCCTCGAGGTTCCCACTCGCCCAGAGGGAGAGGCCGAGGCCGTGGCGGATTTTGGCTTCATCTTCTCTGCGTCCCAGCTGCTCTGCCAGCCTCAGGCCTGAAAAGGAGCTGGAGTGAGAGAGGGCTAGAGGGGAGAAGGGGCTTCAGCAGCTGGGGGGAGCGTGTCTGCCCCAGCGGCCGCCG